AAATAAATAGAGAGTAAAAAATTTATGTACTTTTCCTTAAAACCTCATCACAAATCCTCTTGCATTCATAAATTTTTACTTCTTTAAGAATATGAATGTATCAAGTTTATTGCAGTCATACTACGCGTCATACTACGCAAACTCGATAAGGAACTATCACGCAAACAGGAACTACCCTGCATATTACGCATGGCGGCCGAACTATTACGCATGCCCATTGGAGTGCCATTATTGTTACTTGGTAAGCCATAACTTCGACTAATTAGACCTTTTTCTTTTTTTTCTTTTTTTCTTTTTTTTTTTCTGCTTTTGCTGTGTCTTGGTAATTATTTGTAAATATAGTGCTTTCTTATCACCAAAGCAAATATGTAATTTATGCGTGGAGAGTTAGTAAAGAAATAGAAAAAAATTTGTATTTTATTATGTATTTAAAAAAATAAAAAGGTATTGTAGAGAAGGGCTAAAAATATAATAATATGAATAATATTAATTATGTTAATGTGACATTAACATAAACAAAACACTAAAAGAACTTTGTTATTAGTAAATAAGCATGCTTGGGCCCGTCTTGTCTACAGGGAGGGCTAAAATTTAAATTCTAGTTTGTTTGAAAAAGGTTATAGTTGGATGTACAGTGGATTTAAGTATCACTTATATTCTTTAATTTGAATAAAATATTAATTTTGATGTAAAAGAAAAAAAGAACTTTGCTTTTGTACATGCTTTGAGATTATATAAAAATTTGTACACGAATAAATATTTCTTATTTTCCAAATTCTTCATAAATTCCTTTTTTTTGAAGAAAGACAATAATTGATACATTTTTTAGTATAATACATTATACGACATATTGATTAAAAAATTATTTTTAAATTTAAATTTAAAATAAGATAATTATCAATGGTAAATTTTAATAATTGAACTAATAAATATATTAAATTAAAAGGTGCCGTAATTATTTTACTTTCTAGAAATATATTCTTCTTTAAATTTTTTTCTTTTCTTAATTTCTTACAAATATATCCTTCCTCGATTCTAAATTATAACTGACTTATTGCAGGGGTACCAATATCGCTATCAGTTATTCGTTTTGTGTCTCCGGATGGTAAGTAATCAATGTTTTAAAATCCGATTTGCCAGTCGATTCGTTTTTAGTATTGGGTCCATTTTAATTAGCTAGTCAAATAGGTCAATTAAAAAGGTTGACATTTTAGTATTGGTTTTTACTTCTATGTATTGATATTAACTTATTTTACCATAATTAGTTTTATTTTTAAAATGAAAAATGATTGGTCTATACTTGATTTAACATATTTTTTTATATTT